ATCATTCAACATCACTGGCCACTAGAGAAATGTAAATTAAAACAATACTGAGATTCCATCTTACTCCAGAAAGAATGTCTATTATCAAGAAATCAAATAATAACAAATGCTGGCAAAGCTGTGGAGAATAGGGGGAAGGAAACTTTCTACATTGTTGCTGTGAATATAAACTAGTACGACCCCTGTGGAGATCAGTATGGAGATTTCTCAAAAAACTAAAAATAGAAATTCCATTTGACCTAACTATTCCCCTTCTAGGTATCTTCCTGAAAGAGTTAAAGGCATCATATTACAGTGATACATACATACCCATGTTTAAAGCAACACAACTTATAATAGCTAAATCTTAGAAATAGCTTATATGCTCATTGACAAATGAATGGATAAAGAAAATGTGTTATTTATACACAGTGGAGTACTACTGTGCCATAAAAAGAATAAATTTGAGCCATTTGTAGGTAAATGGATGTGCTTCAAGACCATAACATTAAGTGAAATAAATTGGACACACAAGCTTAAATATTGCATGTTTTCTCTTACATGAGAAACCCAAAGTATGAACACAGAGCAAATTAAAAGATAATATGAAGTAGGGAGAGCTTTCTCAAATGGGAAGAGGAGCAAAAGATGGCGGGGGAGAGGGGAGAGAAAGGGAATGGAAAAAAAGAATTGAAGGAAAAAATGGAAATAGAGCTTTTATAAATGGAAAGTGTACCATGAGTCAGAAAGAGCACAGAATAATGGGAGGGGAGAGGGGGATGAAGAACCCTAACCCTAACCCTAACCCTAACCCTAACCCTAACCCTAACCCTAACCCTAACCCTAACCCTAACCCTAACCCTTTATGTACATGTCCCAACTCCCCATGATAAATGTGCTCATTATGTATGAAAGAGAGAGAGAGACAGAGAGACAGAGAGAGAGAGACAGACAGACAGACAGAGACAGAGAGAGGATGAATGCTCAGTGCATCTTGGGTCACCAGGCAGTCTGAATTGTCCTCTCAAGATGTGTGTTATTTTGATCCATCAAGCCACCAAGTCAGATTCATTAAATGATCCAGTTATACTGGGGACTCAACTTTTGGTGGGAAAAGGTGACCTGCCCTATGATTTAAGTCATCTTCTGTCTCTAGCTAGCCCACTGGTTATCCAATGGGCTCACAGACTTGGTGACCATAGAGGCAAGGACAGAACTGTTCTATGTTCTTAACAACGTGGACTTTCCCCTCCCAAAGCTGACTTGGCTTCTCACTAGCATCACCAGCCAACTCTGAGTCTTCTGAAAGTTACCAAAATTAGGGACTGTCCCAAACATCCACATGGAGGCAGATTATATGGACCTCTTTGCTTGAGGAGGATATCGGTGACTTGTCCCCACTGTAACAGACAATGCTTTGGAACTTGGGTGGACTTCTCTGGCCCATGAATGCCTCCACTGCCATCCTTAGACTTTTTGTATGCCTTATCATTATAGCATCCCACAGTATTGTTTCTGCCCAGGGACCTCCTTTTACACCAACAGAAGAAATGTGATGGGCTCATTTCTGTCCCTCAGTAGCAGCTGATTTTCTAGAATGGTGGAATGACCATTGGAAGACAATACCCGGCAAAGGAAAGTCACCGTCCTACCAGAATCTTCTCTGAACCCAGAGTCAGTGTAGGGTGCTATTGACTCAAAGTCAGGACACACGGCTATAGCAACAAAGAGAAGCTCATCTGTCAAGAACACACCCACTGATCTACTTACAAAGTTTTTGTTTCTGTTTCTTCCTCTCTAGGCTCCACTCATTTGAAGATACTGGTAACCAAAGAGAAACTAATCCACTGTAAGGATTCAAGCACAATTCTATTGAAATGAAAACTGAGACTGGCTGTTTCAGACTCCTCATCCCAGTGGGTGTGTTGTGGAAGTATTGCCTATGATGACAGTGATAACTATGACAATAAGGAGAATCATGTAGAAGTGAGGTAGGTAAGTAGAATGCAGCCATGGTAATGCCTGTTGCTACCAGCAAGCTCAGTGGCAGACAAAAAACCTCACATTTCTCTGAGTAGTTGAGATGCCTGACAAAGGCAAAGGAAAATTATGCAATGGTCAGTAAGGCCAGGAATCATAAATACCAATTATAGTCTTATGCCCGGTTCAAAACAGGAACTCTAACCTCTGTTTCCCTCCTTGCTGTGGCCTATGTATATTCGTATCGCTTCATATAGATTTCAAATAATTGCCCCTCCCCATCTGTTCCTGAAGGGCTTGGAGCTGGACACAGAAACTCATAATGCTTTTAGGGGAAGGAAGGAACATGTTTTCCACTGTCGAGGTGTACTGCATTATATCAAGTGGGTGCATCTTTATTATTACAGTTATGCACTTTTATATTAAGTATATATCATCTTTATTTTTAGAATTATAAGGATGGTAAGAAGTACATTTGAATATGGGTAGTCAAAGAGCTGTTGTGCTGTAGACATCTGACATTCTTCCTGGCTGTTTTGATGGTATGGTGAAGATTGACAGTTCCTCCCCAAATCCATCCCTCTCTTTGTAATAACAGAACCATCAATTTTAGCTGTGCATAACACCATGTTGAATAAAAATGACATTTCCCAATCTCTCTGGTGGCTAGCTCGCCCAGGTGATTAAGTTGTACCACTGAGCTGCAAGTGCATCCAGGTGTGTTAGTTTTGGGACGGGCCCAGGAATAAGAGAGGACAGGTGCCGCGGAGTCCTTCTCTGTTCTTCCCGATGTCAGACTAGGGAGTGGACACATGGTTGGAGGCTACCCTGGATGGTGAGATAGTCTTCTGAATAGAGCGCATGCTCAGTGCAGGAGAAATTTCAGAGCTTGGACTTCTGATGACAAACTATATTCTTGCAGTATAATGAAATGCAGACAGATGCTTTCTCCTTGTAGCAGGGGAGACACTGGTAAACAAGGCATGGTTTGTATCCCAAGGAAAGTTGCAAACAAGTCAAGGTGCCTAGCAATTAGGCAATGAGGTAAGGAAACACACAGATGGAGCATTAATCCCAGGGAGTGATAGGCGGGGGGGGGGGGGGGGGGGGGGGGGGGGAGCGTGGGCGGAGTGGCCTGTAAAGATTGTCTGGAGGAAGTGACACCTATGCAGATGAGTAGAACTGGGCCGCTGGTGGAGGAGGTGTGGAGGGATTGTCTTGGCCTGGGAGCGTAAACAGGGTCCACAAAGCTGCCATTTAGGAGATGAGTCAGGGAATGAGCTACAGGAAGAGTTTGGCTGACAGAACAATGAAGAGCAGGGAAGGGAATTTCAGCATGGAAGTCGCTCCGGCAGGCGTATACTTTTGTTTTTAAATTCTTTTTTACTCGTGCATGTCAGTCATACTGAATAAGAGATTTTGTTTCGGCATACTTGGACACATGCGTGACATACTTTGATCACTTTCCTCCTTTCCCGTTTTTCTCCTCTGGCCCTTGATCTTGTCCTCTTCTCTGATTGTCTCCCTTCTATTTCATGTGATTACTTTTATTTTTAGATTCCACATATAAGAGAAAACGTGAAATATTTGACTTTCTGAGTCTGGCTTATCTCACTTAATATGATCCAATTCCACCCAGACTCCTTTAAATGATGTGGTTTCCTTATTTACGGTTGAATAATATTCCACTGTGTGTACATATGGACCACGTTTTTGTTATCCATTCTTCCGTTTATGGGCATGTAGGCTGGTTCCATAGCTTAGCTATTGTGAGTTGTGCTGTAATAAACATGGGTATGCAGGTATCACTGTAGTACGCCTGGCAGTTTTCTGTAAAAAGGTCATACAGGCTGCTCTGTGAAGAACAGCTTAAAGGGAACAAGGCCAGAGGTGAGGGGACCAAGTCCTATCTTCTCTTCAGAGAGGAGTAAAGGACAGAAATAGAAACGCAGGGAGCGTGTAAACAGTAAATGATTTTGAGGAAAAGCCACATCCAAGCTCCACTGGGTCCTCTTTAGAAGATAACCCAATTATGCAGGCACAAACATCAACTTGAGCGTAAGATGAGGGAAGAAGTCACAATAAATGACTGGCGCCTTGGGAATTCGGGTTCCTTGGGTCCATCTGAACTGCTCGCCTAGTAAAGCTTCCACACTGCAGTCCGCCTTGCCCACTCTGCCCGGAACCCTCTCCAGCTCCCAGCGCTCTTGGCCTGATGGTAATGTGGCATTCAGGGTATACTGAGGCAGCTTCTCTTCCCAGAAGGGATTCCTGGGCCACAATGGCAGAGCAGGATGGTGGGCCAGTTGGGCCGGGGGACAGGTCCTGCGGTGGGCCGCTCGGAGGAGAGGGCACCCTGTGGGTCCCCAGAGCCAGCTCCCACCTGGGAAGGGGCAGCCCCCTGGCAGCATCGTCTGCTTTCTCCCTCGAGGGTACAAACGACCTCATAAATACAGACCGGGTCTTCGGCGTTTCTGGATTTAGAAATAAACCTCACTCCAGACACTGGCCCGTTCACAGCTAGAGTCGCAAAGGTTTTTTCTTAAAGAAAAGAAAAGAAAAAAGGAACCTACAAAGTACTTTAGTTTTTTACATAAAGGAACAAACTGCAAAACA